ATATAATTTTCCACTTTACTAGCAGCACTTCATTAGCTCTAGTGACAAAGCAAGCTCTCTCGAAGCTCAAGGTGAAGGAACAGCGCTGCCACGCCCACTGCCCAGTGAAAGGCGGCCATTCTCAGCAATGGGCAATTAGAGACCAGGCTCGCCTTTGGCTCCAGTTCGTGCCAAAGTATATCTCTGTCTTGGATACATTCCGTTCTTCAAAAACTGCATTCCATATGCACTGTACACCGCTCAGAGCGTGAGTGGCTATGCCGGAAACCACAAACAGGACACGCTGCTAAACCGAGACCTTCCGGACACGTGTCACAGATGGCAGTGATCTGTTTGGTTGGGTCAGCATGTCAGGTTGGAGCCATTTCCTGATAGACAGCCTTCTTGTTTGAGATAGGTTACTGTAGCTTAACTGATGCGTTCAGTTGGTCTAAAAAAGTAATCTGATTTAGACTGTCTTTCCTTGGAGAAAAAGGAGGCCTGGTGCCGCGTTGCTTCAGCAATCACTAGCTGATCAGAAGGTTGTCCCTTTGAAACCCATCAGCCGCTCCGCGGGGGAAAGATGTGGCAGCCTGTGTTAGTCTGGGTTAGTCTAGTTAGACTAGAGAAATAAATCCATGGACACATATGTATATAAGAAAGAGATTTATATACAAGAGGAATTGAACATTGAGAAAACATCCCAACTCAGTCCAGTCCAAGGCCATAAGTCTGACAGCCCATATGCCTGATACCAATCTATAAAGTCCTCTTCAGACTCACCAAACACATGCAATGAAGTCAAATGCAGGACGATCTCCAGCCAGTGGTAGAAAGTCTTTGGATCCAGTGGCGTTGTAAGCATCTCAGTGCTGGCAGGGATCTCTCTGTGGCTTCTCCAGCTTCCAAGGTCTGGTTGCGTCCATGTGGCTTGTCTTCTGCAATGTCTCCCAGGAAGTAGCAGCGAGAGAGAGGCGTCTACTGCCTCCAAGAAGCAAGTAATAGATTTCCCAGAATTCTCAGGAGAAGGCCATGCCCACAGAAGTCTCATTGGCTATCTGCAGATTGACAGCCTAGACTCCACCCCTATACTGGATCCTTCAATTGACACCAGATTAGGTGACTACCACACAACCCATTTCAGAGAAAGTACAGCTTGGGAAACCCTACGGAGCGGTTCTACCCTGCCTTATAGGGTTGCTACAAATCGACATGGACTTCACGGCAATGAGATGTTTTAAGAAAGTCCAGTACAGGTAGTTCCTGATTTACGATGAACCGGACTTGTGACCTTCCTTATCATTAGCAATATGTACCACAATCCACACAACGTTACAGCCTGTCATCTGCTGATGTTATTCTTCTCCGATGTTGACGCACAGATGTTCAATTTCACGGTTTACTGTTTCAATCACTGCCATCTTTATAAATGTTCCGAGAATTAAAGGCAATAATAATGAAACCTTAAGAAGAAAAGAAAAACATACTCAAGTTACGTCACAACCGATGCAAGACGGAGTTGTTGGGATGAAGCCCTGGCGTAGGTCAGCGATGACCTGTGCTGTCAGTCTTCAGCTTGCAAACAGTAGCTTGGGGCCAAGTTTCAGGTTTTGAGCGATCTGGCAGCATAGGACGGGTGCTGCCTGGGAGCCCACCAGAAGAAAAGGGCTTTCTGTCAGAGAAGGACAGGTCTGCAGGTAGGATTACGGAGAGCAACCAACCGCCAAGCCCTGCTCTGGCCTGTGCGGGTACAAAGACGAGGAAGAAAGCAGCGGGGGAGAAGTTCTGTAGGAAGCACAGTACGAAATGTGTGGCAGCTGGGGGCTGTGTGAGTGAGCAGTAAGGGCACATGTGCACCCCAGTTTGCTTAGGGTGCAGTCAAGGTGAGAGATCCTGGGGCCCAGGACTCGCTTGTGATCTGAGCAGCAGCGATGGATGGGCCTCACTCTGATGACGAAGAAAGGACAGCGCAGGCGCCGAGGGGAAGACCGTGGGGATCGTATGGCTCAGTCAGCAAGGTGCAAGTGGCCCGTTATGGCTAGAAGGGGTCAAGTGTGATAGGGGCAGCCGGGAGAGATCAAAAGGACAGGAAGTGAAGTGCAGTATTGTTAAAGCCTGAAGGTCACTGGGAGCCAGTGAGATGTTTTTAAGCTGGAGAATGACGGGTCAACTTGCCTTTTAGAAAGATCAGTCAGATGGGTGCATTGAGTGGACATGCTTGAGAGGAAATAGAGATCAGTAACCAGATCATAGCCCCCCCCCAAAAAAAAGATGAGATAGGCAATGGCCATGGAATCTAATTGGAAGAGTTTGGAAGCATGTTTTTCTTGTTTGGTGGTCATAATGTGTTTTTGAAATGAATTATAAATTATTTTTATAAATGATATTTGGGTTGTTAAAATTGGGCTAAGTAGGGCTGTGTGGACAAGCCTGAGAATCAAATCGTTCCATTCGTGCTTGCCTCTACTGGGTCATGGGCCCCGGGCCTGGATTCCAATGTAGAGCCAGGCCGCAGGCCTCAGAGAGCAGGGTAGGAGGCAAGTCTTCGGTGCCAGTGACTCTGGGTGGCAGGATAGCCTACATATGGCAGAGGAGCGAGGTTTGGGTGGCAAGGGGATTGAAGGAGGTCCACGCTGGTGCCTCCTGGAGACAGACCTTCCAGAAGAGTTCAAGTCCTTCAAGCATCCCACAGCCCATGGGCAGGAAGTAGGTGTGGGAAAAGGAGCCCTTGGCTTTTAAGTTGCTTCTTAGGCTAACCAGAGGGAGCTGCCTGGAAACACAGGCTATTCGCTGTTGCGGGAGTGGGCTGTGCACACTTCAGAAGGTCTGAAATGCAACTACGCAAACGGCCGGCCTTGGATGGCCACAAAGCTTTGCAGCAGCATTCAAAGCTGCCTGCGTGGGCTCCCAACAGTTCTGTTGGCTTGTGCTGAAGATGTCCTGGAAGAAGCTCTTTGCCAACCCCCCGAAACAAAAATGAAAACAAAAACAAACTCACTGCCTTTAAGTCGATGCCAGTTCATAGGAGCCCTATAGCACAGGGTAGAACTGCCCTGTGAGTTCCCAAGACTGTCACTCTACAGGAGTAGAATGCCCCTCTTTCTCCCGCAGAGCAGCTGAGGGCTTTGTTCTGCTGACCTTGCCGCTAGCAGCTCAACTTGAAACCACTACGTCACCAAGACTCCTCCCCTGCCACTCACTGCCATCAAGTCCATGTGACTCATAGTGACCCCCGTGGTGTTATGAGACTGTAACTCTTTACTGGAGTAGAAAGCCCAGTCTTTCTCCCGTGCAGCTGCTGCTGGTGGTTTCGAACTGCCAACCTGCAGATCACAGCCCAATGTGTGACCCACGACACCACCAGGGGCCCTGTGCCCCCACCACAGCACCATCTATATGTACTATCTGGTCAGCAGGTCTCACCTACTTCACTAGGAAGATTTTGCCCTTAATATTAGCTGTAACTAGCATGTTTCCAAGTCCCACTCAAAATAGTCAAACATGAAGGGATTTTTCAATGCTGATTAAAAAAAAATCTTTGTGTTCAGCTCCAGCATTTATAACTTTGTGGTGGGGGATAAGAAGAAATAGGTCTAATTTTCTGGGCTCGTGCTTATTTCTAGGCAAGCTCAAATCAATGTCCTCAGTGAGTTATCTTTAATATTTCGAAGTCCACGCGAGAGCAGTTAACTGGTGCTTTTTAAGCTCCTTTTTTTCTCACGTAATCCTTCCCATGCCTCAACAAGAACTAATCACCGGGGCTTTGACATCTTGAGGTTGTGAGCTGTAGACTCGTGGCTCTTTTTAATTTGCTGAGGGAAGTCAAGAGTTTTTTAAAAGTTCATTTGCAGATGTGCACCCATTGTTTCCAGAACATAGGTATTTCGAGAAACCTAATTCTTTCTGACTGCCCATTTGAAAGATGTGGTACTTTGGACATGCCAGGT